AAAAAAAAAAAAAAAAAAAAAAAAGGCTTGTTCCCTTTACCTTAATTTACCCAACCAGTAAGGTAACAAATGATTTTTTCCGTTTCCGTAACCAGTAAAAGATTTTTGCTAGGGTGGGTACACTTTGCTAGTTTCATGCCCTCAATCCCATATTAAAAACGATCAGCTATCGATTTCAATACGAAATAGATAGCGCAATCTAATATCGAACTAATTAACATTTTACGTTTGGACTTGATTTTTATGTTTAAGTCCTGGAATTTATTTTGCCAATTCCACAATTTTTATTATTTTATTTTTCTTATACGCTAAAATGCAAGTGTCGGCAACGTATTTTAAAAGGTCTGGGAAACAAAAAATCAGTTCGTCATTTCCAACAATTATTTAATTCACATAAAAAATCTTTGAGATATACATACACATTTGAGATATCAATCAGAAAGTTTTCTCTTGCATTAGTTCAAGTCAAACAATTTTATAATATAATATTCCTAAAGCATTATCACAGGGCAGCTGCAATAAGGCACTTGATTTGCACTAATAGACTTAGCTAATACAACATCCTTGTGCATCACAATTACACTAAATACAAACATCTACAAATTATACAAATAACTTCAAATGCATTGGGATTTTATAAATGCACATAAACATTGTTTTTGTATCTATCATATAAAACAACACTCAAATATAACGTAAGCAGATTTACTAGTTTTCATTAATGTGTTGACAAAACATTGATTGTAGAAAACCAATGCTTTAACTTAGTATCTGTGAGAAGAGAAAGTTTTATAATTTTGTTTACTTAATAACATTTTTTTTTTATGCGCACATAACATTTGAACTCCCAAAATAGATTTAAAACATTAACAGAATGGATTTAAAGGAAATCTGAGTGATAAATGCACACGACACAATAAAACCAAACTATATCAATAACAAACTTTAAATAAGAATAAATTTATATGAAATATTCCATTCCGTCTGATTCATATTCCAAAAGTAATATAATTTAGACGTTTTACGTATTTCTTCATATGGCAGTGTCATTTAAGTCTACACAGTAGTTGGAGTAATCATTGTATCATGGATTTAAATTAACTATTTTCTATAAACCAATCAATAACCTCCAGATAGTGTTTCTTACAATTACGACGTACAAGAATGATTTTCTAGATATCAATGTGAGAAAGAAATATTATTTGTAAATAAATTTTAACCATTAAAATATCTTTACTTTACGAATTTATCCATTTTGGGTCACAATTGGCATCTGGAGATATTGAAATTTTGGCTCTAACCTATAAAACCAAAATATTATCCTACTAAAATTAATTAGATTGGATGCTTGTGTGCTCTGTTCATACGAGTTTTAGTAGGGTAATATCAAAGTGATTAAAAAATAATAAATGTAAATATATCCACCTAACATCACTTCCAAGTAAAAATTAAATGAATGAAAACAAAGAGTAAATTATACCCGGAAGCGATACACTTACAAATTCTTAAAACTAAAATGGCAACATCAGTAATGAGTGTTTACAAACTTGAACAATATTAAATACAGTGAGACAGGAAAACAACATTATTCAAACAATAGGATATTGTATCACACATAAATATTATTAATTCATGTTCATGTATATTCTATAACATTATAATAGTTTTAAAAACTAAAATTAAGTACTTACCTAAAGGCAAAACTTGTTAAACTACATATTTGACAGAAAATAGTCCCTATAGCTAAAAAGATAATAAATACAGATATTAGTTAACATTCATGAAAATTCGTATGGCACATACCAAACGATAGTTTCGATAGAATAGGCAGTGACATGTTGCACACTGGCAACAAACAACTAAGCCATAGATATTTTATTTTAGGTGAAAATAACTTTAGTTTCGGTTTACTGAAAGATAAATAACATGTGCGTTAATTAAATTTTGTATTATTGATATTTAATTTTTATTTTTTTTTATTTTTTGTTACAACACTAAAAAGAAATAATTATAAACTGTACTATAGTTCAGCTGTTTTAAATGTGCAATAAAAATACAGAGTTTATTTAGATATTTAATTATTTGTTGCACAAATTACAATTACTATTTTTTTGATTAAAAATAAGACGATAAATGTATGGTAAGGAAAACAAAAACCAAAATTTTGAATTGATACCGCCATTTTTTTTTTCGTTTTTATAATTGGTCGAACCACTTGATTCGTCGCGCTTTTGTTTAATTAAAATACTTCATTAAAAAGCAAAACTGGTGTAAAATTAGCGTCTTTCGTCAGTTTTCTTCGCTTGATATAAATATGGGTATAATAAATATGTTTTTTTTTTCTTCAGTTTTTTCATTCATTTCATTTTTTTCAATTAATTATAACTAGACCTTAGTAATTAAATATTTCTGACATAAACTTTATTGATTACTTATTTTCTTAATTATCCTGGTATTTTTTAAGTAAAAGTATAAAATTTGGTCCATCTTGTAAATTTTAATTTGTACATCTGTATCGTTAATTTAATTGAGTAAGGCAGTAAAAAAGGACATTGGTATAATTTGAATCGAATGCAAGTTTGAATGTTTGTTAACAAATTAACAAAGTGGTGTAAAAATTTAAAACTTTACATTTAAATGCAGCCAAACATAAAAAGCGATGGCAATATTTAAAAAATATTTAACTTAAGGCGGCAAAGCTAACAACCAAAGACAATCAAATGCTTAATATAAAATTTCTCTGAAATTACGATACGATCAAAACCTACAAACTAATTGATTAACTAAAATATTATGGCGACTCTTATCAATTCCTTACTACATGGCGGACTTTTGTGATTTGAATAATCTATAAGTTTTATACGTAAGAATTAGTTGGTTTTTCGCAAATATATGCGCGTTGCGATGTGTGCGAGTGTGACAAAAGATTTGCGAAGATATCGCGTCGAATCTCAAGTTAGCTACAGCATTGTTAAAAGAACACGCATTATTGCCTCCCGCTAAATTAAAACTATCTCGTTTGTCATTTTGGAAAACAAAAATTTTGAGCTTTTAAAACGTAGACAAAATAAAGTCCTCTTACATCACAATGCCCATGCAAGTGACTTCTTTATAAAACGAGATATAATAAAAATCAATAATTACCCTAAAATGTACAGCAAGAATCTAAATCAACCTAAAACTTCGATCTTCTGACTGACAATATCTTAAAATCCTAATATAAGTTTATTAGAGTTTGACTTTGTGTCCACTGTATTTTAATATTATACAAACAAATTTGTTCTAATTTCAGATCATCAACAGACATCCCGTAAGATAATTGTTTAGACATAATTAAAAATGATTTTCCACTTATTGGAAAAAAATAAAACTGGAAACAGTAGTAACAATAAATAGATTAAAATGTTAACAAAATCAGATTTGAAAACAAAGATTTTAGTTTTTCCAAATGAAAATAGAACAAACTTTCATTAGTTTATTATATAAAGTAAAGTTTATTTTCTAAATCAATCTCTCGATTGCATAAAACTAATTCTCTTTTCTTTAATCCCCGTCATACAGTGACGAGGAATTAAACTAAAGCATAACACCAGCAAATGGCTAAGATCACTGCCGTAGTGTACACTACAGGAAATCTCATTATAAGTAAAAATTGAGCAAGTACCGTATTGCCGAGCGAGGGTATGACGTCACAAGTCAGCGTTAGCGACACTACGGCGTGGCGCTACCGT